TGAGACAAACCCCTATTTTTTTCTTCAAATTTATCTTTAATTTTGTTTTACAGATGAAAAATTTCGGGATGGGTCGCATATCATGATTTGTGAATAATAACAAGACTCTTTATCTCGATATTTCAAAGTGCATGTGTATTTACGTTTTTAATACCAATGGTTTAAAAAAAGGGTACTTTTCCGCTTTTTCTTGTTAGTGTCATAAACTTATCAATTGACTTCATTTAAAAAAAAAATTATACGGTTTGTTTGTTGCATGATGCCTAATCTGCAAATTATTCATCAGGATAATCTTCCATTTAAAGAAAATATTTGTTCTTCTTGTTTTGAAATTTGATCGATGGTCGTCTAATCGGACATATACAAAAGGAGCGGGGGTTCATTAATTTTTATTAATAACATCAGCTAAAACGACCTATAGGGCTTAACTGCAGAATTATCCACCATCCATGATAATGAATTAGGGTTATGATTAGGGTCAGTGACAGGGGCTGGGTTAGAAGTAGGGTTAAGCTAGGATTGGGGTAAGGTTAAGTGTTAAGACAAGGGTTAGGGGTATGACTAGGGTTAGGGCAAGAGTTTGGACTAGGGTTAGGTTTAGGACTACGGTTGAGGTTACAATTAGTGTTGTTATGCCCAACCTATGCAGCTCCTTTTGGATTACCTAGAAATCCTTTTTTAAGCAGGTTAAATTTAAGATTAAATAATTTGCAAATATTAATACATTGAGGATTGCCGTCTTTATCCAATTTTGTTTCCCTGATTATCAAAATTAACTATTTTTCAATCAAAATGCAATTGTTGATGAAAAATTCAAAAAACATATCCATACTGCCCCCCCCCCCCCGTAACACGCATCCAACACAAATTATCCCCCCTTCTGAATTTGATCGCCGTAAAGTCGATCGATCGACACAAATAAGGAAGTGGCAGGCAAAACACCTGTAAGGGCTAGCTGCAGAATAATCCACCATCAATAATAATGATTTTAGGGTTGAGGTTATGGTCAGGGAGAGGGTTATTACTAGGGTGAGGTTCAGGGTTTAGAGTTAGGGTTAGGACAAGGGTTAGGACTAGGGTAAGGTTACGGGTTAGATCTAGGGTTAAGGATTATATCTAGGTTTAGGACTAGGGTTAAGGTTACAATTAGTGTTACAACTTGGTATACGTTCAACCCGTTCAGCTCGTTTCGGATGATTTATAAATTCAGTTTTTAAATAGTTTCAGCAAGGATGAATTAATTTGCAAATAGTAATCAATGAAGATTGACCGATCTTGTTTCCCCGATTATCAAAATTAACCATCTTTAATTAAATCTAATTGCAACTTTTAATAAAAAAAGCATACCAACCGTGCCCCCCCCCCGTTAATACACATCCAAGCCCATCCAAGACACATAAACGGACACCAATCCCCCCCCCCCCCGAGGCCAACTAGCTATAAGGACCATTATTCATAAACACTGCTATTTATTAGGACCATTATTATAAGAACCGCTATTTATGATTGAGAAAAGGGTAATTATTCATAAGGATAGCTAATCTTAATCGAAGAGTGTCGCTATTTATCATTTGAGAAGAGAGTAGCTATTCATAAAACAGAATGAAGGTCGCTTTTTATAATGCGGAATGAGGGTCGCTATTCATAACGGAATGGGGGTCGCTATTCATAACACGGAATGGGGGTCGCTATTCATAAAAAAAAAAATTGAATAAGCAACAAAATGACAAGAGAGTTAATTGTTGACTGGGAGCACCCCTATGGCTGTGGCGTATTTATTATGGAAAGCAACGCTTTTCTCCGATTATGAATATCGACCCTCTTCTCATATTATGAATAGCGACCCTCATTCTGCATTAATTATAAATAGTGACCCTAAATTTATCTTATGAATAGCGGTCCTAGTGACCCCCAATATAAATTATCAAAAGCGACCCTCATCTCACATTATGAATAACGGTCCTCATGCTTTTATCAATAGTTACCACCTTCGTGTTTTATATATGAAGTTCGACGTTATGAATAGCGAGATTACCCCACACCCTCCCTCCCCATCCTCTGGTGTTGAAGATGGGAGGCCTAACCAAATATTGAAGGGGGGGGGGGAAGAAGGGGAAAGGGAAACATCAGAAAATGGAAGAAAGAAGATAAAAAGTGGAAGAGAAAGTAAAAAGGAGATGATACGACACCCTACGGGCCCCGTCCGACGCCCTGCAACTCACTCCTACACCCCAAACTCTCGCTTTTGCTATGCTACATCATCGCAAACCCTCATTACAACATACAGAGCCACAAACTGACTTATACACACAATCGCTTTCCCTCTGTCGTCTTACTTCCATCATTATTCTTCTTCTCCATGTCTTCACAGTTCATCTGTTCCATTCTCTCATGCCACCCCCTCCCTCCCTCTCTCTCTCTCTCTCTCCTCTTATGCATTTCTTCCTTCTTCTTGTTTCTAACTTAACCCTCTCTCTTTAAATTATTCTCTCCCTGAAACTTTCTCTCTTTCAGTATTGTTCAATTATGTGTCTATGATAGATCCTCATATATTGTGTGTGACTGTCATGAATTACATTATAGAATATGAATAGACATACATTTGCATTTTAATATGGTTCAAAATCAAACAAATCTTCAGTATTTATTGTCACACACTCAATTAATCAGTCTCGATTTCTATTTAAAATATGAATATTCCTCACTTAACAATAATTATTAAAAATAATACTAATGACGAATCTATTCTATTTTTATCATCAATTTGTTTGCATGGGATAAGTAATAAGTTGTGATCTATTGTACTGTGTATTATTTGTACTTGTCTATATCTAAGTTTTGTTGAGAGGCTTTTTAAAACTGAGCTTGTAAAACTAATGAAACCATTCTACTACTACCACTACCACTACTACTACTACTACTACTACTACTACAGTCAGAAATATCAACATGAACACCAAACAAAAAATAAAGCACATACAAAACAGACTTTGTTTGGGTATTCCATGATGAATACTTTAGTATAATACCTCCTACAAAATGTGAGGAAAAATTGAGTTTTGTGACACATGCTCCTACTGAAATTGCTTCACAATAGTTCCCAACATTAAATGAATTACTAACTTTAATCCTGGACCAATACTATACCTAACCCTAAATCTTGCTTAAATATTAATCTAACCTTAACCCTAACCCTACAATTTTGATAAACTAAAGCCCGGAACAATTGTCAACACAGCAATTCTCGAATTGCAGCAAACCGACATCGTGTTCCTGAAATCATATTTACTACATGGTAATTTTTCTTCATTTACACTATTATATTTCAGCATGACCTATGTACAATAAAACCGGTCTGATTGTATATTTTGAATGGAATGTATAGCACTATTATCCCCACAAAAAATAGCAAATGTTATTGAAATAATGTATATATTTACACAGGTGATATATCAATAGCCTCATACAGAAGCTATGCCGTAAACATGTTTACAACTTTACAATGCTTTCATTTGTTACATATTTAATGTACAAAGAGCAATAGCTGCAGTCAGGTTTAAAACGCCCACACAAATATGGATGTGTTGCCCACACCTGAAACATAGCACAAGAGGTAATAAGGCCAGTCAAAGTAAATAATAAGAATGAAGTACCGGTAGGCACTTGGTCACCTTTAAATTCAGAAAACTTACGTAGCTTTTAATAACTAGTTTGTGATATTTTACATGGTTACACAAAAGAAAAGAAGCCATATAGGAATTTAGATGATGACAGGGGACTAATAATTGTCACCTCTTATGTTTTAGTACAGTATTCAACTTTTGCAAGAAATAATTTCAAGGAGCTTGTAGAATGGTAATCATCTTGCTATCTAGCAACACATATCAGAAAAACCTGAACAAATAGTTAGGCAGGGGGTTACCAACTTTTGCATGAGCTACATGTATAATACACTACGTGTATAATACACTACATGTAATATATGCCTCCGTGGCGCCTTAAAGTGATCTCATTTGGTTCTTGTGTACATACATATCTTTAAAAAATAGTATGGTTGAATGCTCAATATTTTTGCTTGTTTGGGTTTATTTTTTATGTTGAAATCATCTTGTAATATAAGCTTATAAGTGGGTTGTCATAACCATTCTCATATCCTTTTATCATTATTCTAATCATTTTACAAACTATTTAAATCACATATAAGGTTTATTAGTTGTAAGATGATTGTACACCTGAAGTTGACTTTTCCTGAATGCCATTACGATAATACCATCAAATAAATATTATCTAATGGACTTTACATAAATTGCTAAATTATAAATGCAGTTTTGGCAGAGATAAGGTGCTCAAAGGATCTTTTCGGCACCCATTTCCTTCATCTGAGGCCTAAAATAAAATAATAATAATAATGATTCCGCTTTTATATAGCGTATGATGTCTCTATAATAAAGTGCTTTACAGATATATTATTACCCCGGTCATCAGATTCAGGCTTACCCGCACACTATGTATGCACATTCTCTACTCCCTGGGGATCATTCCAGCCAGGTGTCATTTTTTAAGTGCGCACTTGCTCATCTAACCACATTAACTTTCGCATCCTACATACCGGTAGCTCTTTTCCATTTTTGTAAGGAATTTTGTACATCATAGGGCCGGCAGAAATACATCTCACTTTTCAGAGTACCTACGCTTATTCTTTGGGGTGAGGTTTTGTGAGGTTTCCTCTAACAATAGTGGATGATCGACCTTTCACAAAAATTTGTAGTATATATTGAAACAAATGGATATCCCACATTTATCAAACTACACACACCCTATTTGTTTAACTTTTATCCTCTTTAATTGCTCTAATTCAAACTCAAATTAAATATCATCAAAATACAGTGATATTGAGTTCTGTAAACTCTTACAAATTACACTTTTTCAAATTTGTGTAACCTCCAAGAAACTTGCAAATTATTTTAAATAATTAAACCCTTTAGATATAAAGTGTGAAATTTTTTAGTCATAGGTTCTGAAACTTCTTTGTAAGAAATCAAAATATAGCGCTCTTTTCGATTGCCACAGCAGGAGCTTTTTTCAAATCAACACTAGTGAACACATATTTTTTTACTCGAGACAATTAAATATCTGGAATTAAACATTCAAAATCTATTCATTGAAAAATCTCCATTTAAAGTCTCTTTGAATCAACCTTAACCTTAGGCTGATCATACCAAGGGCCATGCTATAGCCTCTGCCAGGTCCCTCTCAGTGCGTGTGTGAACCAGCGTAAACCTTGTACTTGAAGGGATCCCATATGAAATCTGTTGTTTTGAAAAATAAAGAACAGAGCTTCCATTTATTTTTTGGTCTCAAGAACAGTGTGAACAGTGCTAACAATAATATATCTTGGAGTACAATTCATTCAGATGTCTACAATTTCTTCCGAGATGAATTTTTCCCCTATCATACCATACCATACTATCATATCATATAATATAATATACAAATATTGTCTAGTATTAAGTATTCTACAATTGTTGTAATCTTGTACCTGTACACTGTATTGCCAATACTAACAAATGGAAAGGTTCACATTGTTTTTCCCCAATAATTATCTATAACATAACAATCTATAAATTGTATTATATGCAATGCTCTACAATTTCTATGTAGATAAGTCACAGTACAGCATATATCAAATGAAATGACTTTCAGGAACAAAACAATAACAAAGTTAAGTGTTTATCATATATATTCTCAGTAAAGACAAATATAATCAAGAGTTTGGTTTGATCGGTCATTTTCATACCGTAAATATATTTCATGCAAAAACATCTTCTTTACCTGCCTCTTAATAAATCATTTCATTCTCCTGCTTTGAAAAAAAATTGTATTTCAATAATAAACACTTTCAGAATACCAATACCACACATTACGTGTTGATAGGTCAGGCAGGCCATAATGTTTACCCAACCTACATGTAGCAACAACTAATCCTCGCAATTTGCATTCTGACTACCGGTATTGAGGTACAATAATAGAAAACAGGTGAATGTACATGTACATAATAGCTCATCGCAAGGTACACGTACATGTACATGTATACATACATTTGAATACATTTTGAAAATTGTCTACTACATGAGCATATTAGTCAATTATGATCCAAAAGCATCAATTTTTACATCCATTCATTGAACAACTACATTGTACATGCATGCAGCACTTAATAGCCATCAATAAAAAAAAATTGTGAAAAAATGGGGTAGGAGTCTTAAATACCTTGATCATTGAACACCCCTAAGTTTTTTTTGTTACAATCCATTTACATTGTACATACCTCATAGATTTGCTGCTACTGTTACACTGGATCAACTTGATCTACCACTTTTTCAAAGGATAATCAAGAGCCCCTTCTCACAATTGGTGGAGTACACATGCCATTTCTTCTTTATCTTGACAGTGACCTTGTGCCTTTGCGTTGATTGTCATCAAGTGTCTACCTGCCCCTCTGAAAAATGAATAAGCATTTTAAGAATTATAAAATTATATCAAATATCTAACATATCATACAGATTACAGGATCAAAAGAAGTACATATTCTTATAATATTTCAGTACACTACATACATGTATGTGTAGGTGATAGATCAATGTCTACATGTGTACATGCTACACCAATTAGAAATTTCTTGACAAAGCCAAAGAAATCCATGTTATGAAAGCAAAGGATATACAAATCTTCCAATAAATATTTGCGAAAAGCATCTCAAGTGTACAAAACAGTGATAATTACACACATCTTGTGTATGTGAATATTGTTGAAGATGTACAGTACATGCACATGTACACCCTGTATAGGAGACAATTCAAATTTCATAACAATGTGATTCAATCTCTGTATGACCATAGGATTGAATGTACATGTACATGTACAGAGTACTACAACAAATTGCCACATTAAAGCTAATGTCAAAAGGACTTCACAGAGGATTTGAAAAGACTAAAATGTGATTTAAGTTCCATGAGCTGCTATGTAAAATGATTCAGCAGTGTACTGAGTACTAGCACTATTCCAAAGGATTTTCTGTCACATTATAAGACATTATACACAGCAATATTTTGAATTTTTAACTAACAATTTCCTACTCGATTTGGTTTTCCTACATTCTTGTATGGCTGGTAGTTTGTCTATCCACAACATGTACTCTTTAGGTGAAATTTTACAGGAACCAGTAGTGAATTTGATCTGTGTTACTTCATGTATACAGTAGCAGGTAATTTTACATGTACCATGCATTAAAATGCATATTTGCCCGGTCCGCAAACTACAGTGTAACAGTTTTGAGCGGGCAATATTATAAAGTTATTGACTGGCAGGGGGTGTAATATAACATTATTTGGACCGCTGAAGGGAGTTATATTTCCCAAGTGGTTATATTTTCCCGAAGCGCGCAGCGCTGAGGGAAAATATGGTTACGAGGGAAAATATAACTCCCTTCAGGTCCAAAGAATGTTATATACCCCCTGCCAGTCAATAACTGTTATATTAGATAGCCTTGGGGTTTTTTTGTGGGGGGGGGGGGGTCCATATTTTTTTTAGCCCGAAATTTAAAAAAAAAAAATTCGGGGACAATCAAAATTACGGAAAAATAATTGTAGAGATTACCTTAAAAAAAAAAAAAAAAAATTGAAAACATTTGGGGTAAAAAAAAAAAAAAAAAAAAAAAAAAAATCTTTCCCAAAAGCATTTTTTGGGAAACAAAAAAAATGAGGGAAAAAAAAATTTCTAGGGAAAAAAAAATTCATGAAAAAAAAATATTGAAAAAATAAAATGGCCCTCGATAATGGTGTAATGTATGTAGTTGGTGACATACAGTCCTCAAGAGGGCGACATGCATTGTTTAAAAATATATTCATTTCAACAGCCGGTATAATATAACACTGAAAAGTGACCGGCCAGGAAAATATAACAATTGGATCCTCGCAATTGATATCACGTGACGAGCTCTGAACCAATCACATCTCGGTATCTGTCTAAGCTATCTAATATTCCTGATAGTTTCTCTCTTTCGGGTTTCACCATTCACTTTGAGTACAAAGATTGTGTTCCATATTGAGCCCATTACGTATTGGCCCCATTAAATATTCGGGACCTTTCAAACAGCTAAATCGCTGCAAAGTTTGAGCAGACTATCATGCGGCGCGGTAGTAGGGTATAGTGACCGTACGTGATTCACAAATGAATAGGTAATAATTATAATCTTTTGGGAGATACAGTGATATGCATTTATACGTACATGTATTGCCCTTACTGATTGAGTGAAGGCAGTACAGGGTGTATTACCTTGTTTCTCCCTCAAGGCCAGTAATATTATATAACGACAATCATGTTAAGCTCCAATTAATGACAGGTTATGCCGAACTATACCATTTCAGAACCCTTCATCCTAAATCTTCTACATAGGTGAATTTCACATATCTTGGGGGCAAAGAATGTGATCCATAATAGCTATTTATAACCATATACAGTATCATCATGATATTCGAACTACATGTATCACATCAAATGTAATACATACCAACATATTTGATTTAGAGAGGCTGCGTTGTTGTGAGGAAAAGTTTTTGCCCTGAATTTTTGTTAACATTTTTATTTACATAAGGGTGGTGTTGATATGCTTATAATTATTTACATAAATAGAAAATGAATTATGTGACACCTACATGTACAGGGTGTATATCAAGATTTTTTTCTCAAAACTATTGCAGCTACAATGTACCATTTAAAAAAAAAGGTAGGCTATTTGCTTAGAAGTCAGGGTCAGCAAGACAACCATTATTGGAAGACATTGGAAGATCACATTACCATAACAAAGTATTCAGAATTTTGAACCACATTGCTCACTTCATCACTGATGATGAGGGGGGTGACATGCTTTCGAGTAATAGCAATTTAAATTGCTTTTGTCACCCCTGACCAGCAGATTGTATCCTTCTCTCTACCTCCTCTCCACTTTCCTAAAGCTGTTTGAATGTATTATGAAATTTCTATGTATTATCTGATTGTTATACTCACTGTATGTTTTTCCGATTGGTCAAATAAATAATAATAATAATAATAATAATAATAATAATAATGGAAAGAGAATGACTACCGGTAGTCTGATTTGATTTCGTTTCTTTAAATATAGCCCAAAAGAATACTGGTACTATTTACATGTTCAGTGAGATGGAGAAAGGGAATGGCCCATAAATCGTAACTGATACCACTTAAATCTATAGTGTAGCCTCACAGCTCACTGAACATTGTATAATAAATTGAAACAGGATTTTCCAAAGATTAGAATTTTATACTACTCAAAATAGTAGGCTTTTGACCACTTCTATTGCAGGTACAGGCCATAGTTCATCCATACTTCAGAGTTGAAGCTGCCAGGAGAGGAATTTAATCTATTTCTTTCTATTAGTATACAAATGTTTTAATTTTCTGATTATACCTCAGATCAAAACCTGTTTTGCTTTAAAAAGTGATTTGAAGAAAGACACTCGCAACCAATTTCAACCAAACTACCTGGTAGTAAATTGAGCTTCAAATGTAGATTGCATGTAAATGTCACAGATATTAAATATTTGAAGGAAATATGCATTTCTGAAACAATCCACCCTGTTTAGAAAGTTGGTTTTTGTTAATATCACTTATGAGAATACTTTCCTTTTTTATTCTGTAATACGTGTAGACCTATTTCTCTATGCAATGATACCCAATTGATTGTGGTGCTATTATTGAGAGTTATCATTTTGAGAGTTTCACCAGTTCTTTTGGATAACAAGACATCCGTTTAGGTGCAGAAATCTACAATCAATATGGAAATGACGGACAAAGAAAGCGGACAAAATATACAGTTCCTCATTCTACCCTCAACAATTGCTATATATGGTAGACAAAGGAACATCCCTTCACTGCTATTATGTAAAAATGTGTAGAACAGGTGAATATGACACCCGTTCTACAGATTTTTACATAATAGCAGTGAAAGGATGTTCCTTTGTCTACCATAGCAATTGTTGAGGGTAGAATGAGGAACTGTATATTTTGTCCGCTTTCTTTGTCCGTCATGTTCGTTGTGAATTTCATTAATGTACATGTATGTATTTTAGAATCAACATTAATATTAAGAATCACTATTTGTTTTGCAACATTGTCACTTACATGTATCATGTTTCCCATTCAGCAGTATACTGCACATATCAAAGTTACAAAATCCATATAATTTAGGCACCAATGTAAACAGAAATTCATTGGTTAAAGAATGTTATGCAATGCTATGGAAATGATGAAATAACAAACAACAAACTTTTAAAAGTACTCATACAATCATGTTGACGGAAAATTAAAATTAAAATTGCAGAATAGGCAAGGTCCTGAAGTTGGATGTCTTTTGATATTCTTGTCTACTGAAAACAAAGCTACATGTATTTAAATTCTGTAATACAGCTTTTTGACAAAGCTTTCACAATAAGAGATAACATCATTTCCTACACTGCAAGACATAAACAATAAGGTGTCTTCATTTTTGTTGCCATGCATTAACAAATTGTGTTATGTTTTGAGCCTGAACTCATATCACAGAATGTTTGTTGTATGATTGCTAAATGTTGGTATTTTTATACACTCTACATGTAAAATGGATATTCATTATTCAACATTTGAAAAGTTCTTTAATACAATAATATCTCTAGGGTTGATAAAATGTTACACTTCTATTCAACATTAACCACAAAAACATTTTTAGCTGTTGGGTGAAATATTTGCTCACTGTGTTAAAACAATTTCTACTAAGAGTTGTTCAGTAATTGAAGTTATGAAAATAATACAGGTAATCACTATTCATTCCATATTGTTGTTAACCAATTGACCTAGCCAATGACTTTGACTCACTCCATATTTAAGAACATCATTACAATTTTTAAATATTGACTTTTGGATGATGAATGAAGTTTATAATGATGAATTTCATGGCTGTTTGATGAACAACACATCAGCAACAACATCAAAATATAGAGTTGTTATATTCAGTGTACAACTGCATGCTTCTGCTGCAAAGTATCAATAATGTTGTTGGATCATATAATATACCAACCTTTATAACAAGTTGAATCCGTAAATAAAGAAAGATCAGAGAAAAAATTGGTGAGAGTTTAAAGGAAAAAAAGAAAGAAAAGAAAGTTTAAAGAAATTGATTTAAAACAAGAAGAACAAAATTATTAGAAAGTTGTAATCACTTAACATTTACAACCAGCAATCTACAATACCCTGTAGGTCATTCTACTGGGACATAATTGTAAATCTCCATTCGTTTCACACTTTTAAAACAAAGTTTACAGTATACCAGTCCCTTTTCTCTCAGAGCTGTACTAAAAATATATTCAGAGAGCTCAATAGGTCCTCCAAAAACGAAGAGGTTCTATCATAGTCATATTACATGTGTAAGTGTTGAATGATATTGGT